GAGATTCCATGATCATAAGCAATCCTGAAAGGGTGAGAAAAACCATAATACCATCTTTTGAAGAGGGGAGGAACATTTCATTTTTCCCTCTTACCACTTCTAGCGGTAACAACTAAGTTACTGCCCCACAAAGATACCGTATATTCCAGGCCTGGGGCAATAGAGGCTGAGCCTGGTGGCATGAGGGACAACCGTATGCCCTGAGCACATCTTGGCTGGGACAAGCTGGTAACAATGTCCCCACAGTAAGTCACCAGCCCACGAGGCGCCATCCCCGTTGACAAGAGCACTTGGCATGCCAAGCACAGCAGAGGCAAGTCCTGGCCCCCATGGGACTCCAAGGTAGCATGGGCAGGGCAAAGAGATTGGAAAAGGATGTTCTACATGGCACATGGAAAGCCATGTTTATAAAACCCCACATATTGTATGTTTATAATCCCCCAAAAAGGAGCAAATTGCCAATTACGTAAAACCCTCACACAGAGCAACGCAAACCTTCCATGTGCAACAGATAAATGATATGCAGCCACATGGAAATAATATAGCAGATAGTGTGCCAGAGATGTGAGCAAATCCATTTTTTTCAGAAGCAGGAAAGAGGGACTTGCTCACTGCAAAGGATTAGCTGGATAAAGCCAAACACCCTCCTAAAAAACTTGCATTAGAAACTAAACACGCATCAAACAGAAGCAGAAAGGGGAAAAAAACAGAGTGTAAGAAGATCTGAGGAGCCGAGTGCTGCTGCATCTCAGAGAGAAAATGCTGTCAAAAAGAAAAAAAAATCCGATGTAAACTTGCCACACACAACGGAGCATCAACAGGCATTTATCAAACGAAACACATCCCAAATGCAACTCTTCCCCATAATCCCAAGTCAAACAGGCTTTGTGTTTCACACCCTCAGGAAGAGATTTCCATATGATCACACTCTGCCTAGTTCATGATTAGACCTTCTAAATTTCAGTATTTATCTGACAAAACAGTTTTATCTGCAAAGCCTCTGTTTCTGCTTTTTTATTTTATTTTATTTTATTTTATTTTATTTTATTTTATTTTTATTGCTCTTGCTGTACTGCTCAGCTTGGGAGAGAAGACTTTAGTTGACATCATTGGACTGACTGAAAGCAGGAGCCCTCGCCCCATGGTGGTAATTCCAACCCTTGCATTACGTGCCAAGATTGAAACCAGCCAGCATTCCCAGAAAGGGTTATAAATGCTGTCTTTGAGCCAGAAGCTCACTTTTGGGGATCAGCAATGAAAATAAGGCACACATGCATGACAGGTCCCACTGGAGAGATCTGTGTGGCCAGCCTGAGGAGTCGTCCTAGTTTTGGGGGAAATTCTGTGGTACTGAAACGTTTTGGTGTTTTTGGATGAGTTGTCACGCCGTGCCAAGGCTGACTCCTCCAAGCGACCACAGGAGCACCCCCACCACTTGCCATCGTCCTGCAGGCTGCCGTATGGTCCCCATTAACCATAAATTAATAGATGTCAAGCAACATATTCATAAATTGCCAAGTTCCATCACAGCTAATTCGCAGACAAAACGGGAGTAGATTTTGTTCAATACACTGCTTTTTGCACATGCCCTGATCATTCCCAGATGCATTCCTCTGGGTGAGGAATACAGTCTCTCTCCTTCAAGTCACTGGCCTGCATGGTTTCAAGATCCCCAGACATCAGTACAGGCTGAGGACTGACCTTCTAGAGAGCAGCTCTGCAGAGAGGGACCTGGGTGTCATGGTGGATGACAAGTTGACCATGAGGCAGCAGTGTGCCCTCATGGCCAAGAAGGCCAATGGGATCCTGGGGTGCATCAAGAAAAGCGTCTCCAGCAGGTGGAGGGAGGTGATCCTGCCCCTCTACTCAGCCCTGGTGAGGCCACATCTGGAGCATTGTGTCCAGTTCTGGGCTCCACAGGACAAGCGGGATGTGGAGCTGCTGGAGAGAGTCCAGCGCAGGGCCACAAGGATGATCAGGGGCCTGGAACATCTGCCCTATGAGGAGAGGCTGAGGGAGCTGGGCCTGTTCAGCCTGGAGAAGAGAAGGCTGAGAGGGGATCTGATCAGTGTCTATAAGTACCTCAAGGGAGGCAGTGAGGACGATGGTGCCGGCCTCTTTTCAGTGGTGGCCACTGACAGAATGAGAGGAAACAGCCACAAACTGAAGCATCAAAGTTCCACAGGAACTTAAGGAACAATTTCTTACCAGTGAGGGTGACAGAGCACTGGAACAGGCTGCCCAGAGAGGTTGTGGAGTCTCCTTCTCTGGAGATCATAAAAACCCGCTTGGACACAGTCCTGTGCCACGTGCTCTAGGTGACCCTGCGTGTGCAGGGGGGTTGGACTAGATGACCTCTAGAGGTCCCTTCCACCTTAAGCATTCTGTGATTCTATGATGCCCCAGGAGCCCTCCTGCACCCATGCCAAGGGAGCTGCACACATCGCCCTAGTCCCATCTGACCCAACTCCTTCTCCTTTCTTTTTCCACAAGGATATACAATCACTTCCCATTCACAGAGCATGATCCCTCACCCTTCTGCAAGCCAGGCACTTGGTACCCACACACACAGCTGTGAAGCCACCTCCAGGTTATGGTATTATTTCAGCCTTTTTCATGGGACAGCAACCAGTTCTCCTGATTCCCAGGGGTCACTTTTAAACTAGCCATAGGAGCGTGAGCTTTGCTACAGAGGAGCTTCCAGGAAAGGTCAAGGTTGGTGGGAAGGGACAAATTTCATATGAGAATTTGGGAGATTGGTCATGCACAAGTCAAGTCAATGCAGATTTGTTTGCTAAGGACCGACACAATTATGGAAGTTTCTCTTTCAAGACATAATGTAAAGCAAAGCAGCCTCAGTTTCAGCTCATGGTAAGACATCCACAGATAAACACAGCTTTGAAGTCACAGCCAGAATCTCTGGTTTGGATGAACGTTTTATTTACAGCTTCTGATTCAGTTCAGCTATGAGATAAGGTAATAACAAATATAAGGCTACTTAGAACTTAAAAAAGCAACCTTTATCTCAAATCTCAGCACAGGCCCCAGACAATAAGGGCTGGATGGTGGGATTCGCCCTGGCCAAGTGCATGTGGCTCCCGGAGGGAGGCTCAGGGACCTCCCTGGATCAAGCACTGCTCATGGAAGCAGTGGCAGCCCTGAGGCCACCACGAAGCTGGTGGCTTCGTCAGTGCTTTGCAGGCAGCCAAGGTTTAGTGACCCGAAGCGTTTCACCCACGTCCACAACCAAGATCAGTAGCACACGCACAATATGAATCCAAACATCCTCTTCCTCTCGCTCCACCCAAAAGCAATCTATTTGTTATCTCCGTGAACACAATATGCTGAACAACCTTGAAGAGCCTCATTTAACCAGAAATGCAGCTGAGATCCCTCAGTGTACAATGCTGTGTATATGCAGCATGGTGCTGTACAAAGAGCTGGGTCAACCTGTACATAGCAAAGGTTACTGCTTTTTATGAGCATGAATTTTTCACAATCACTTTCTGGCTTTCCCCCATTCCCACATTATTTGAAAACAGTGAAACAATTTATTGTATAAATAAAATTCAGCTATGGGTTACTTGCAAACTAGTTAGTGTGATTTACAGAGCAATTTGCTTCCTATATTGATCACTGGAAATTCCCATTGAAGGTGTGATCAAACGCTTAACAAATCGCATGGTATTGCTTCTGCTTCCAAACCCGTCCCGTTGAGTGTCAGCTTCACTGTGCTTTCTTTCATAAGCTTTATTGTAACCAAAATGTTATTGGTGAAGACCCCAAGTAAGCAGGCTGGTTGGGTAGTCAGCTCCAGTACATTTCCAGCAGTGCATTTTAGACTGTGGTTATTCTTATCACGAGCAATGCTTTATTAGAGCTGTTTTTAAATGGCTAGCTTGTTTTCATTGAACTAGCAAAAATTTCAACAGCATCTGTGTGAATTAGGAGTCCAAATCCACAGGCTACTGATGAAGATAATTAGTGTTTAAAGATGTGCCCATGGATGCAATGCCCATGGAAAGATCTGCTAAGCCTTGCAGAGCTGAGATCCTCCACCCCGTGCAGGGACCCACAGCCTTGCAGTGATCCCACAGCATCAGGGCGATGCTTTGCTTAAACTAATTAGTCATAGGGATTTCGTTATTCTCCTCCGAGCCCCAGTCCAGTTTGTTCCCAGCTATTCGGGTGATCCCTGACCGCACCAAGCACGTGTGCGCTGAATGTCTCTGAAAGTCGAGCCACTTAGATAGCTGAGTGACTAAGTACTTGAAAAAATCATACCCATTAACATTTTGCTAATGGTGTTTTTTAAGCAACTCTCCAGAAAGCAGTGCTGAACTGCATTTCCTGTGATTCAAGTCGCTGTCAGAAATCCCCATTCAGGTTTCACCGCTTGCTGGAGTAAGATCCTGCCTGCCCTGAGTTTATCGGCCAGCGGTTGGTAATCCAAGTGCGATGGGAAGTTTCATTTCCTGCTTCTTGGCTGCCTGCGGCCAGGCCCAGCAGCCGCAGTAAAAGAAAAGACATTCTTCTAATTCCTGCTATTAACCCCTTGGTGATCTCCAGGAGAAGCATGAAAAGTGTCAGGAAGGCTCAGTAGAGGACACCTTCCATGGGTCCCATCATTACAACAGATTCAAACTTTTTCCGATTTTCTTCTTTGTTCCTTTTTTAAAGGAATAAAAAGGAAGCTGGAGCACAAACTCATTTTGAAGTATGTTTGTGTTTTCCCGCCCTTTCCAACACCATCTGCTGGTGTTTCTCAGTGGGGATGCACCACCTTGGGGGTCCTGCTACCCCCATTGAAGCCCAGGACAGCCATTCCATGCTGCAGTCTTAGATTGCCCTCCATGCAGATCCATCCTTGCAAATCCTTCCCCTGAGTTTGGCATGTGACTGTAGTGTGATGTTGCTACCTGAGCTCACTAGAAACCCTTTTTTCCCCCCAGCAGCCACAGTAGCAGCAATTCTCGCATTGCCGAAGGCAGGTTTCCTACCTGAACAAGGAGCTCCAGCTTCCTGTCATCGAGGAGATGCACTTGGCATCTGCGGCCCTCCGTCATCTGAAAGAGAGAGCAGACACGTACTTCAGGAGAGGAACATCCACACAAGCTTGCAGAAAACTCAATACTCCATTCAGACATCTCTGAGATAGCTCAAAGGCTGCAATAAAGTTCCTCCCTGCAGCTATCTCTGCTCTCCTTGGAGTTATACTCATTTGGACCTTGCTCAGAGTGGCTGTCCCACACCAGAGAGCCATCCTACTTGAGATGCATCACAGCATTTGCTCGTGACATTATTATCTTGGTCCAGAGGTGTGCTTCCATACTGGTATAGCTTATTTCAAGTGTTAAGGGGTACAATACTACCGATAAAACTTTTATGTATAGAAAACTATTCCTTCCAAGCTTCTGTAGATTGGGATGGAAAGAAATACCATGCACTGTGACCTGATGAAACTCGTCAGTCAAGGCCTCGGTCAAGTCAATCAAGGCCTTTCCCGACTCTTTCCTTGCACGCAGCACGGTAAGTTAGCTGTAGCTCCAGCTCAGCAAAGCCCTCAGCGTGCACCCACACAATCCTAAGAAAGCCCACAATCCCACTACCTGCTAATGGGATATGTACCTCGTAAGCCTCTTTTGCTCTTGGAAATCTCTTCCTCAGCATGAGGCAGCCTTAGGCACAAAGGCAGCCCCCTGGCTGCCCGTCCCCCCTGCCGTCATGCATGCCAAGACCTGGCCGGGGGGAGCAGCTCCAGGGAATGCTCCACCCTCCGGCCAAGCTACATTCCCAAGCGTGACACGGACCCGCTGCTCATCGCGATGATGCGTCTCGCCAAGACAAGGCCTCAAGCACTGCCAAAACCAAGCAGAGGCTCCCCGAGAGCCTGCCAGGGTGGATGCAGTCTACCGATAGTCGCAGCGTGCAGGGCCCTTCTGCGTGCACCAATCATGCTCTCCACTGGCGACATCTGGGCTGGCTCCCAGATCCAAAGCCGCCTTTCCAGGAGCTGGCATACTTAGGGGGTTAACTGAGGACAGATCTGCTTTCAGACACAAGTCCCGAGGGTTAAAAGTCACAAGTTCGTGCAGTTCGACAGTGCCCAACGTGTTCCAGTGCAGGGGATGTTACGGGCGCAAGCGAAGGAGACCCCAGCTGAGGACAAGAGAACATCCTCCTACCTCCAACTTGGCCTGTGTCACATCCCTAGAAGTCCTCGCTAGTGCTTGGCCACTGCTGTGGTGGGAAGTGGCTGGACCAGGTCCCCAGCAGCATTACCCTCATCTCAGCCATGACCAGCTCTGTCCTACATCCATCTTTCTGGGAAGGACCCAGCCTTGCTCCGGTCCCTGCTTCTTCCCCCTAGTGTAAAATGCAGTTGTGCCAGCAGCGCTCAGGAGCCTCCAGTTGGCCTTGTGAGATAGAGTTTAATATGAAGCAACTTCAGTGAAAACCAGCTTTGCCTTTCAACCAGCAACCCGCCTCAGATTTACAGTCCTGGCCACGTATGAGCCCATGGAGTCCAAGCAGGCTCAACCCGCATGCTTACTTACCCCAGAACATCTCTGGAATATCATGTTTATGAAATAATATTGGTTTCCTTCTCATTTTCAAGTAAGAACAACTGGATTGCTGGCATCCAAGCCAAAGGAAAGCCTTGTAAAACAAGACTTCTCATAAATGTCAACCACTTACTGCCACGGCAATAAATTGTCTTCTTACAAGAGGTTCCTCTACTAAGTTATATTATAGAAAATATTGCTTTTCATAAGGTGTATGGCTTGTTGAGTAAGATTTTTTTTTCTATGAACGCTGTATTAAATAGTTTTCAGCTCAGTTATGAAGATATGCAAGAGGCCTGCCATTTCAGGCCTCCACAGAAGGGAACTGCAACATTTTGCCCTTCTCAGGAGAAAACTTTTAAATTTTCTGAGCAAGGCTGCCCTTGAATGCCACACCAAGCAGTGCCATGCCTAAAATGGGAGGTGAAAACTCAGAGTTGATAAGTTCTGTTTCTGCATCTCTCTAGGCCTCTTACTGTCAGATATCTGCAGTATCCCAAAGGCCGTGAATGTGCATTGATATTTGGATTTTATTATGAGTATACCCAAGGCAGGAAATACAGCAGTGACCTGATCACAGATGTAACGTGATGGCACAGATAGACAGCAACAAGGTCCAGCTTTCCTGCATCATCATGTTATACTTGATTGGTTACAATGAAGTGGAAATGAGGGGAAAAAAAGCAATGAGGAAGAGGGAGAACTTTACAAAATGTTTGACTTTCTATTTTAGGGTTGCAGTAAAGGGCTTGCTTTCCATGTGGAACTTCTCTAGCTCCCCATAATTCTCCAACCTGAGTTCATATCCTCTCCAACCTGAGTTTTACATCCTCTCAGTGCCTTGGCTTCCTAAAGAAATCACAAATCATTGGGAAGATGAAGCATCAGAATAAAATGAAACATTACTGAGTGACAGGAGAGGCTGTGACACCCTGGTGCTCCTAGCAGGGGAACCAGGACTAAGGACTGCAGCCCATCCCAGCCCCAGAGACCAACACGGGCTAAAGATGAACCTGTGGCTATGGAATAGTAGGCACGGAGTTTTGTCCATGCTGTCATCTTGAAGCTGAGAGGGGCCATAATATACACAAACCATTGGAAATATGCTATAGCATTTCCCTTTAGAAACAGCCATGGTGCTTTTCACTTCCCTTTGAAATAAAAGATGCTTTACAGAAAATAAAATAAAATAAATCAAATAGTAAAAGACAGACTTCCTACTTGATGTAAGCTAAAACGTGATGGTTCTTCCCTCCCTCCCTTCTGGTTTATTATTCCACCAGATGTCTGGAGCCCAGAGTATATGCTTTTTTCCTGTCATCAGAGTAATACAAACTTGGCTAGTTTGTCAGAGCAAGAAACAGGAACGTTTTCAAGGAACAGTGAGAAGGAGCTGATTTAGCACAGTCTGTCTCCATGAACACTGCTGCTTCTGGCACTTTGTGAATCCAGTATCTTGCTCTATCTGCTGCAATGTGAGGAGGCTGTGGACATGTCAAGGTGGACTCTTGGTGGACAAGTTAAGGAACTGCTGGGTTATCAGAAGAGTGAGGCCACATCTGGAGTATTGTGTCCAGTTCTGGGCTCCCCAGTACAAGAGGGATGTGGAGCTGCTGGAGAGAGTCCAGCGCAGGGCTACAAGGATGATCAGGGGCCTGGAACATCTGCCCTACGAGGAGAGGCTGAGGGAGCTGGGCCTGTTCAGCCTGGAGAAGAGAAGGCTGAGAGGGGATCTAATCAGTGTCTATAAGTACCTTAAGGGAGGCAGTGAGGACGATTGGTACCGGCCTCTTTTCAGTGGCCACTGACAGAACTAGAGGAAAGGGCCACAAACTGAAGCATCAAAAGTTCCACAGGAACTTAAGGAAAATTTTCTTACCAGTGAGGGTGACAGAGCACTGGAACAGGCTGCCCAGAGAGGTTGTGGAGTCTCCTTCTCTGGAGATCTTCCAAACCCACTTGGACGCAGTCCTGTGCCACGTGCTCTAGGTGACCCTGTGTGTGCAGGGGGGTTGGACTAGATGATCTCTAGAGGTCCCTTCCAACCTTAAGCATTCTATGATTCTATGATTCTATGAATACCAAAGACTCCAGATGTGACTGTGGGAGCAGGATGTCAAGAAACAAGAACTCAGCAACATCAGAGTTTAGATGAAGTCTACAAAGAATAAAAGGAGGTTCTTCAGGTCCTGAGGTTCTTGTACACAAAAGGACAGGGGGAAACTGAAACTATGAGCACAGCCTTCCCTTCGCCATGGAAAATCATCATCTAAGCAAAGAGAGAAGAAGTGATGGGCAGAGCTGTTCACACAAGACAAGGACACTTCACGTGGAAGGGCAGTGTAGGAGTCCGCTCCTGTTCATTTGACTTCCTAGGCTTCACTGTGAGCTTGATGAATGACAGTGGCCTTTTGTATCAATACAGGACATCCAGATTTCCTCTGGGGAGCAAGATTCAGCTACCCTAACGCCAGAAAGTAAAAAGACAGATTTCTAATTTACCTTAACCATCTATATCTCCTTGAAGATCAAAAGAGAGAGACACCTCCTGGGCAGACAGCTGATTCTGGGCATCTTAAATTGAGCTTTTGTCCCAGAAGACATGGAGACATATTTCTTTCCATTGACTGCTATGGGAATCTAACTTCGTACCACTTAAAATTTAGATATTTAAAGTTAGGAGATAAAATTCCTAAATGAGCTCTGCAGTTGTACCTGCTGCTTGCTCATCTCCTGCTGCTTGGATTTCTCATATCTGAAGCTGGGCTCTAGTGCTTTTACCAGGAGCACCCTCCATACGAAACCAGGATGCTGTATCCACAACAACCTTGCTTGTCTCCAAATTATTGATGCTTTTCATGAACTGTGAAGAGGTGGGACCGTTTGAACAAATTCCTTAGTATGGCAGTTCATTTGTATTGCATATCCATAGTACTGCATATTGCATGTGTGAATAGAGGCCAAATGAACTTACTTCATGGGCCAGACATCATAAACTCAGATGGAAATTATGCACCAAAATACATAACAGATTTTTTCAAAACAGTTCAGTACATCACATTCTTCTGAAAATCTGCCACTTATTTTAGTGCCTACACATGCAACATGACCCCAGTCTGCTTGAGAAACTGAATGTGAATGTTTTTAAAAAGTCACGTCATTTATGTGCCTGAATATGTAAAGACAAGAGATAATATATCTCCAATACACAAACACAGATGGTACTTATAAGGCATGTGTAGAGCCGAAGCAATGTGTTTCTGTGGATGAAGTCCTGGATAAGGTTTCAGTAGACCTGGAGTAAAGGCTGATCGCACACAAAGCGCACTCTTTCTCTGCACCTTGGTTTCTGTAGCTAGAAGATGGGCAAGAAAGACATTGCCCTCCTTTGCAAAATGCTTTGAGACCCACCAGTGGCAGCACAGGCTGTGCTATACGTTCCTTCATTCTGAACACAGGACCGCTGCAGGAGGGAAGCCTATCTTGTGGGTACTCACTGC